TCTAAATGTTAACAGCCTTTCCAATAATGTGATCCCATCTGAGACCTGAACCAGGAGCCCAATACCCTTCCAGATGCTCCACCCTCTGACCCTCACTTGGATCAAATTCTGACCCTTCCAGACTGATCCCCCTCAGAGTCTGACTCCCCTCACTTTTGTATCCTCCTGATAACACGTCCTCTCATCTATCTCTAACTAGGGCAGGCCTCCCCCTACCCGCAATGCAGGGCCCTCCCTTGCAGGCTTCCCAGGGCCAGTGCCAACTGGTGGGGGAGGGGCCGGGTCGTCTTAGGCGGGGGCTAAGTTTAGGCACGCTGGGGGGAGGGGGCCTGGCCCACAGCTGTGCTGGCCTGTCCAGGTCCTGAGTGACAGCGCCGCCTGGGCCTGAGGCTGGGGGAAGGGGGCCTCCCTGCTCTCAGGCCCCAAAACCTCCGCTCGGGGGAGAGAGGACCCCACGCTCCCTCCACTCCCTCTCTAGACACCCCCACAACCCCCCGGCCTCCGCCGGCAGCTCCAGGGAATCTGGGACCAGTAGGAAACATACCCGCAGATTTGAGGGGCATAAGAGAGAATCTGGACCCATTGACGCCGTTCCCCAACCCCGGTCCCACCAGCCCGCTCCGCAAGCCCACCTTTACTCCCCATCTCGGCTCCAAGTGAGAGGCTGCGGACACCGCTACTTCTCAGGGATTTTGCCCGCTTCGGTGGAACTCGGAGGGAGGGAGTAGGGGGGCGGGGCCCCTTTGTACCCAGCCAATGGCTCTCCCTAGAGGTGGGGACAGTTCCAGAAAGGGGTGGCTTTCTTTGTAAACACCCAAAGGCAGTGCTGTCTGTAATCAACCCACGGCCATTCGTGGAGGCTAAGCGTATTTTAGAGGAAGGTGGGGTCTGTTTGCAACGGGCCAACGGATGCGGTCAGGGCAGAGGAGCGTTGCAAAAAGGCGCAGAGTTTACTTATTAATGTCCCATGGCCACAACCAGAAGACAGCAGTTATTTTTTCAGGGATCTGTCCTGCCCAAAAGCAGCCTCTAGGAGGAGCACCCCAAAAGAGGGATTTTATTTTTAGCCACCAGCCAATCGTAATGCTCAAAGGAGGGCTCAGGTCTCAACGTGGGAGGGACAACTATACAAAAAGCCAATGGCAATCTTAGATAACGGGAAAATTTGCCTAAAAGGGCGGAGCTTATATCTAGCCAATGGCAATACCTTCTCTTCTCCAGGATCCTCACTTCCTTCGCGAGGTAGGTCCCTTTAAATGCCGACCCTCCCACTTTCGCTGTGGTCCAAAGGAGCACCTTCACTCACGCACATTACCTAGAAGGAGTGGTTCCAGTGTGAATTCTGATTGGTCCGTGCTATCGAGGCACTGCCCCGTGATTGGCTCCTGCTCCAGATGCCCCCGCGGCTCTTCCTCCTTCTGGTCCGGGGAGGGCTCATCAGGCCAAGAGTTCGAATCCCGGGATCGGGGTGGGGACGGGGTACCCGCCAGAGGGGTTCCAGAGCCCGGGCTGGGCTGCGGAGTCAAGACTTCCGGCGGCGGCGGCGGCGGCGGTAAGGACTGAGGGAGTCCGAGTTGTAGGTCCAGTTCTGGCGCGTTAGAAAGAGAAGGCCGTGAGTTTTCACCTTGGAGCTGCCCTGAGGAAAGACCACCCACCCTGTGGCTTCGGTCCCAGCACCTCTGACATCTCACCTTTCCCAGCCTCTCCAGCCTCCGAGCCGTCGGGCTCCTCGTCCTCCAGTGGGGTGGAGCTACTTGTGGCAGAGTCTTCTCCGGACCCCGCTCCCCGGGCCGCCCAGCCCAGCTGGTCCAGCTGGAGCCCTAGGTCCTCCAGGGGGCGTCCGGCCGGAGGGGCAGTTTCAGGGCCACTGCGGCGCCCAGGTTCCGGGGATTGGCTCAGGCTGGGGATGCTCTCCAAACTGTCGCCCAGGCCAGGCTGAGGGGGCGGGTCTCGCGGTTCAGAGACTGAGCGGCCCTGGGGTCGGGGGCGGCGGGCAGCTGAATCCCGGCGGGTCCCAGAGCCCACCACACCATCGAAGGCGATGTAGGAGAAGGTCAGCTCCCGAGGGGTACCCCAGTCCTGCGACGTGGTCTCTTCCTCCTCGTCCTCTGAGAATTCTCGGGCTGTGTGAAGCTCCCGAAAATCTGAGTCGTCATTCCCTCCTGCAGTGAGCAAAGGAGGGTATGAGCTACTCTAAGTGGGACCCTGACCCTCTCTCTTCAACCCCCCGGCCCAGCTGTGAGCCCCTTCAAGGCTCACTCTCACATCCTCCCCCTCCACTTACCTTCTGTGGAGTCAGGGGTAGAGGAGGCTGTAGACGGAGCTTCTTCTGCGAGAAGGAAAGAATCGAAGATTCTTAGAAGCTTAGACTGTCGGAATCACAGAAGTGTGCCAGTCCTGGAAACTTGGCCGGTCCGAATTAAGGAATCTTAGAATAGTTGAATCACAGGACCTTTAGAACATTCTACAGACTGTAAAACCTTACTATAGTGCTATCAGAAGTTCACCCTTATAAGCTCAAATCCAGGGATTTTGTTTTTAAAGATTTTATTTATTTATTCATGAGAGACACAGAGAGAGAGGCAGAAACATTGGCAGAGGGAGAAGCAGGCTCCCTGCAGGGAGCCCAATGCTGGACTCAATCCCAGGACCCCGGAATCATGACTGAGCCAAAGGCAGAAACTCAACCACTGAGCCACCCGGGTGCCCCTCAAATCCAGGAATCTTAATCTTAGAGTCTTCAAATTAGGAATTTTAGGAGGCTTCAATCAGTTATTCTTTCAAAAACCTTTTATTGAACACCTACTATGTACCAGGCACTGTTTTAGACTGAGAATACAAATATGAACAAAACAGACAAAATCCCTGCCTTGTAGGGCTTATACTACGTGGTTGAGATAGACAGTACACAAATATATGATGCTGGGTGCTAAGTGTGCAGAAAACAATAAAGCAGGGTAAGGGAAGTGAAAGTGAGAGGATGCTATTTCAGACAGGTGGATCAGGAAGTCTTCCATGATAAGATTACATTTAAGCAGAGACTTGAATGAAGTGAGAAATCCTACAGGTGTCTAGGGAAGAGTCTTGCAGGCAGAGAAAAAAGTCCAGTGCATGGCCCTGAGACAGGCACTATGCTTGGCAAATCTGAGGAACAGAGACGTGGAATAGAGTGACTGGGAGGAAGAAGGGTGGGAGATGAGGGCAGAGAGAGGTAGGTGGGGATTATGTAGGGCCTTCCTTTGTAAGCCAAAGTAAGGGCAAGATCTTAGGATGCTGGGATGATGTCCTTTAATGTTGAAATAACAAATGCTCAGAATTTTGGCATCTGGACTCCTAGGACATGCAAGTGGCCAGATCTGAGAGTGTTGAAATTCTCAGCTGCGGGAACCACGGGGTGTGACAGAAGATGTTAGCCCAGGACTGTTAGAGCCCTGATCTCAGAGACCGTGAGGATCAGATAAGGCATTTTTCAATTGTGGAACCTAGCCCCTCAAAGCTAGCTTGGGGTTTTGCCTACAGGAGATGCTCAATGCTGCTTGGAAACTGAAATATGATGCACACCCCCCACCCCCGTCCCCACCTCGTTTTGGCAGCTGGGGAATCGGAGGCCCGGAGTAGAATGGGTGTCATCCAGGGTTACTACTAATCAGTGGTAAAGCTCAAGTAAGGACCCAGGAGTCCTGGCCCCAACCCAGGGATAGCTGTTTCCAAGGGACAGGATGTTGGACAATTTGGGCGAGGTCGGGGAAGCCTCTGGGTCTGGGCAGAAGACGGAGGTGGGATGCGAAGATGGATGTTGGGGGTGGAGTGTGGATCCCTCTTCTTTATCCTGGCTCTACCCCTCCGTTCAACTCCCCTCCCCGCGGGCTGCGGCCAGCACCAGGGCGAGGGGACAGCTCCCGGAGAGCGTCCTCATCCCTGGGTGGGGTCCGGCGCCATGTCCTAGAGCCCGGCGCGACCCTCGCCAGTTACCTCGGTGCCCCCCACCTCCGCCTGGACTCACTCAGGTCCTCCGGGTCAGGCTGCCCCCGTCGCCACTGGAATGCGGGGGGAGGGGAGAGCTTCCTTTGTCTCCTTCATCTCCTCCCCCATCCCAATTCTCCCGCGACCCGGCACGGAGCGGTTACTGGGGAGGAGCCCACCCGGGCCTCTGGGCCCCACACCAGGCCTGAGCTTCCCCCTACTCACTGCAGTGGGCGAAGACAGGCAGGACCTGCCCCATGGCCCTCCTCGGGCCTGCATCGGGACCCCCGCCCACTCCGGCCACGCCGCCCTGGGCCTGGGGCCGCGGGCGCTCATCTCCGCCGCGCCCACGACGCCGCCGCCATCCTCGCCGCCTCCTCCTCCGGGGCCGCTCCAGCAGCAGCAGCAGCAGCACCCGCCGCCGCCGCCCTCTGCTCCGCTCGGCGGGGGCGGGCGGGGCCGCGGTGGGGAAGGCACTGCAGCGCGGGGCCGGGGGCGGGGCCAGAGGACCAGCGGGCGGAGCTCAGAAGCGGGCGGGGGGCGGGCAAACACCAAGGGGCATAGAGGGGCGTGGCTTCCTACAAAGGGGGCGGGGCTAAGAGGTTAGGCTACTAAGCGGAAAGGCGCGGAAGGCGGTCTGAAAAGGGCGGGGCCTGATGGACGGGGCGCGGCCTCTAGCGGAAGAGAGGAGGAGCCTAGGGTAGGACCCGGGGAGGGGCTCGGGGGGAGAAGGATGGACGCACCTAGAATGAGGGCGTGGATCTCAGTATGGGTTGGGGCGGAGCCAGGGGAGGCATTCAGCAGAGGGTGTAAAGACCACCGCTCTGAGGAGGGGTCGGAGCTGAGAACCCCAGAGGGAGTGGGATAGGGGGCGGGAGAAACTACACGGAAAGTTTGAGGCAAGGGGAGGAGCTCAGATGTGGGCGGGGCTTAAGTTACGTTAGCATTAAGCAGGTAGTTGGGCGGGGTCAAAGACGGAGAAGGTAGAGGCGTGGCCTAGAAAAAGTAGGAAAGAGCAGGCAGGGAAGGGGCGCAGCCCAGAGGGTAGGAGAAACCTACAGAGCAGGGGGCCAGGCTCCCCAGAATGTGGGGACTGGGTCTGTAGTTAAGGGGCGGAGCTAAGACTGAAAATTAGGAGTGTCTGAGGCTATGTGCTTGAATGCACGGGTAGGACCTGGAAACGGAGAAAACGAAGACCCGGGGCAAGACCCAGAAGGGGAGCGGTCGAACTGAAAAAAATAAAGGATTTAAAGATTTTGAAACTGGGGAGGTTGGGGGGCAGGACACTAAACTAACAGTGTATAGAACACGGATTCTAAAGCTCTTTCCGAAACACTCTTTACTTCTTTTATGACTCAGTTTCCTCTTCGGTACATCGGAGATGATGTAAAATAGTGGTAGCGCATGGTAAGTGCTGTTTACTACTATTTTTTCGTGACCCAGATCCCCAAACGTCATTTTGAAGATACAGGAGAGAAGACACCCAAGAGTCCAATCTCTTCTAGTAACTCGACTTGAGTGCAGGTCAAGGGTACAGGAAGGAGATTTAGGTGGTTTAAAATCTCACAGTGGAGGGGATTAATGGAGTTGGGGAGGGGGGGTAGGTGCAGAGGGTGGAGGCGTCCTGATCCCAGGGCTGAAGAATGGCTGCCTTTGCCCGCCTGCTGGAGCATCTCCTCTGGCCAGCTTGCAAAAAACAGGAGGCAGAGGAGGAGGAGGAGGGGCGCAGGTCTCACCACGGGCCTCGGTCGCTCCTGGACGCGCCGCGATGCGTCCAGCGGCCGCACGGGGGTGCGGCGGCGTCTTGCGGCTTGCGCTTCGGGGCCAGCGCTGTGCAGGGCTGGCGCGCGCACATGGAGGACGCGCACTGCGCTTGGCTCGAGCTGCCCGGGCTACCCCCAGGCTGGGCATTCTTCGCGGTCCTCGACGGCCACGGCGGGGCGCGAGCTGCCCTATTCGGTGCGCGCCACCTGCCGGGCCACGTGCTAGAGGCTCTGGGCCCCGCGCCGGGCGAGCCCGAGGGAGTGCGCGGGGCGCTACGCCGAGCCTTCCTGAGCGCGGACGCACGCCTGCGTGCGCTCTGGCCTCGTGGCGAGCCGGGGGGCACCACGGCCGTGGCTTTGCTAGTCTCCCCGCGTTTTCTGTACCTGGCGCATTGCGGTGACTCCCGAGCGATGCTGAGTCGCGCCGGCGCCGTGGCCTTCAGCACCGAGGACCATCGGCCCCTCCGGCCCCGGGAACGGGAGCGCATCCACAACGCGGGGGGCACCATCCGCCGCCGGCGCCTCGAAGGCTCACTGGCAGTATCCCGAGCGCTGGGCGACTTTGCTTACAAAGAGGCTCCGGGAAGGCCCCCTGAGCTGCAGCTCGTTTCTGCGGAGCCTGAGGTCACCGCCCTGGCTCGCCAGGCCGAGGACGAGTTCCTGCTCTTGGCCTCTGACGGTGTGTGGGACGCGATGTCTGGCGCTGCCCTGGCGGGACTGGTGGCATCGCGCCTCCGCTTGGGCCTGGCCCCGGAGCTTCTCTGCGCGCAGCTATTGGACACGTGTCTGTGCAAGGTCCTAGGGGCGGGGCTTGGAGTCACTGAGGGGAAGAATTTAAAGGATCTAGGGAGTAAGGGATTTTGAGGGAGGGGCTCCCTCGAACTAGAGGAGGGGGTTAGGCTTCAGTAAAGGGCGTGGCCTGCCGAGTGGGCAGGGCCAAAACATGGAGGGGCAGAGACAGAGGGCTGTCTGTGCAAGATCCAAAAGCCATAGTGATGGATAGGTAAGTGGGAGGGACCTAAGAGAAAGGCGTGGTCTTTCTTGGGATTTAGTAGTGGATCATGAGGTCTGATTCATGCCTTTATGAAGAGCAGCAGGACGGCGGAGTGGGAGGAGCCTCGGCGAAGGGGCAGGGTTCTCTGATAGAGTGCGGTTAGGACAGTGAGAGGTCTAGGTGACCCGTCCTGGTGAGAGGACTTGGTTTACACTGGCAGATGGGCAAGACATCAGAGAAATGGCCCTAACCAGATTGGGGAGGAGGACACTAGAAGGCTGAGATTGTTGGGAAGTTCTGCATCCCATCAGGCTCCTTTTTCTCCACTTTCTCCAGGGCAGCCTGGACAACATGACCTGCATCCTGGTCTGCTTCCCCGGAGCCCCCAGGCCTTGTGAGGAGGCGATCAGGAAGGAGTTAGCGCTGGACACAGCCCTGGGCCACAGGGTCGCCGGTGAGGAGGCTCCAAGAGCATAGCGGGAGGGGTGGTCAGTGGGCAAGGACACCCCCATAATCCTTCCCTCCTTCTCAGCGCTGTGTTCCTCTGCTCAGGAGCCCCCCAACCTGAACACGGTTTTCTGGACTCTGGCCTCAGAGGACATCCCAGATTTACCTCCTGGGGGAGGGCTGCACTGCAAGTGAGTGTGGGGGGGCGTGGTGAGGTGTAATGGGGGGAGGGGTAGTAGAAGGAGGGTCCCCTGCTGGGCCTCTCTCTGCTCTCCAGGGCGGCTGTCATTGCTGAAGTTTATTCTCAGCTCTACCAAGCCTCAGGACACCAAAGGCAGGTAAGGACTTCATGTTCTTGAATGTTTCTCTTGGAAGCATGTAACCCAGCCCTCCTACCTCCTTTAATGTTGGAGAAGTTGAGGAGACAAGCGGCTTTCCTGATATATTAATAAATTCTCACTCCTGGCCCTGAATCATTGTGCTAGACATGATAGGGGCAGGGGAGGGGGGAAGCAGAAGCAGAGACTGCCTCTCTTCCCAAGAAATGTGTCCCCTGCATTAGCCTGTACAACCCATTATCCCAAGCACCACCCCTTTCATCCATAAATAAGGCAGAAAAATTCAAGTAATGTTTATGACCAATCCCAAGACCTGGATGTGAGGATGGTCAGGGTCTTGGATGAGTGAGTAGGGCCCAGATAGCTTACAAGAATTTGGAGCTCTCCAAAGAGGTGGTGGGTGGAGCCAAATAAAGTCAGGCAAGGGGTGGGAGTCCGGGAGGAAATGGAGGGAAGGGAGATTGTTGATAGTTCCCCAGCAGCAGAAGGAGGTGTTTGGCAAGATTGTTTGATTTGTAATCGACAGAAACCCAATTCCACCTGGGACAGAAAAACAAGGAACTTACTGGGTCACTTAATTGAAGAGTTCAGGCATAAGGCATTGACTACATCCAGTTCTCAGATGATATCAGGAACCATCTCTTGGTTTTATTTTCTCTGCATTGACTTCATTTCCAGGCAGGATCTCCGCATGAGGTAGCAGAGAGTTGCAGCTCTAGCAGCCTCATGTCCCAGGAGCCCAACATCCCCAGTGGAGAGAATTCACCAGGTTCCCAGTAGTAGAAGCTCTGGTTCCATGGCTGGTTCTCACTGGTCACACTGGCCCACATGTCTGATCAGTCACTGTGTCTCTGTCTCTGACTGGCCAGGCTGGGGTCACATGCCCACCCCTAGGACTTGGGGCTGAGGTCCACTCCACCCAACCCAGAAGGATTGATGGACAGATGGGGAATGGCAGCCCCTCAAAGAAAAATAAAAGTGGTGCTTCCAGAATATAGGGAAGCAGATACTGAGAACCAAGGGGAGGTTCTTATCAGCCGTTTCCCACCTTCTTTGTTACAAAAGGGCCCAACTGGGGCCAGAAAGCCCACTGGCACCCACTGAAACTCTTCCTTGGACTTGGAGGCCTGACAGCTGTTGCCCTTTGAGGACCCTGTGCCCAGCCAGGGCCTCAAAGGAACTGAGGAAGAAGACTCCCCTTCCCCAGCTACACAGGCCAGCGGAAGGAAGACAACCCGAGGGAGGAACCCCAGAATGCTTATTTCCCCTTCTCCTACTTCCCTCTCACACAAAGTCTTATGGGGAAATTCCACCCATCTGAACTTAAAAGGAAAAAAAAAAAAAAAAAAAACCCCACCCCAAACCAAATCAAATGCTTCTGAAATATTTTAAGCTGAATGGAACCTTGAGTGATAACCCAGTTCAATAACCTTCTCTTCCCTTCCCATTTTTTCATCTGTTTTGGAGGCAGTTAGGAGAGAAGACTTGTTGCTAAATTTTAATGATATAACTCAAAATAAATTTCATATATGTATGTATGTATGTATAAAAAACCCTAGACCTTATTTCTCTCATCATGGGGCAGATATGTATTGGGCATCTGCTGTGTGCTAGACCCTGCTCACAGCCATCAACCAGGCAGGACCATTGAAACCCTGCCACCCCGAGGGACACACCTAGTGTGTGGGGAGACAGCGAACAAGGAAACAGATATTACCATCTCACATACTGATAAGTGTCTTAAGGCAAATAAAACAGGGTAACGTGGTAAGATGTCTAGGGGGGCTACTTTGTTTTTTAAATTGTATTCTTTTTTAAAAAAAATACTTTATTTATTTATTTATTTATTTGACAGAGCACACACAAGTAGGAGGAGTGGTAGAGTGTGAAGCAGACACCCTGCTGAGCAGGGAGCTTGATCCCAGGACCCAGGGATCACAACCTGAGCCAAAGGCAGATGCCCAACTGACTGAACCACCCAGGCACCCCCCTTTTTTTGAATGGGTAATAAGTTCACTGGATTCAAAATTCACAGGGTACAAAATGGTATACAAAAATGAAAGTCTTGGGATCCCTGGGTGGCGCAGCGGTTTGGCGCCTGCCTTTGGCCCAGGGCGCGATCCTGGAGACCCGGGATCGAATCCCACATCGGGCTCCCGGTGCATGGAGCCTGCTTCTCCCTCTGCCTGTGTCTCTGCCTCTCTCTCTCATTCTCTGTGACTATCATAAATAAATAAAAATTTTAAAAAAAAAGAGAAATGTTTAAAAAAAAATGAAAGTCTTTCTCCTCCCTACTCCTTAGCCACTCAATTTCCCACCTGGGGTTTTATTTTTATTTTTTTATTTTTTAAAAGATTTATTTATTTATTTATTTATTTATTTATTTATTTATGAGAGAGAGAGAGAGAGAGAGAGACAGAGACACAGGCAGAGGGAGAAGCAGGCTCCATGCCAGGAGCCCGATGCAGGACTTGATCCTGGGACTCCAGGATCGCGCCCTGGGCCAAAGGCAGGTGCTAAACCGCTAAGCCATCCAGGGATCCCCCCCACCTGGGGTTTTAAACAGGGGGATCCGGGGAGATCTCTGAGAAGAGTGCAAAGATCACAGAGAAGAGTGTCCCAAGGCACAAGGAGTAGTCAGTGCAAAAGCCTAGAGGCTGGATGGAACCTGGTATTTTCAAGATGAAATTTGATATGTCTCGAGATGTCTATGACCATCAAATGCCCTTTCTCTATCCTATTAGTAACCACTGTAATGAGTTTGGAGTAGATCTTTCCAGACCTTTTACCCGGCTGTGTGTGGTAGCTTTGGTGTTTCCTTGATTTTTTTTTTTTATTTATTTTTTTCATTCCGTGTATCATTTGGCAGTTACTTTTTTCCCCTCGGTGATACCTTGGAGACTACTTTCATGCCATTTACACACCTCTTTTTTTTTTTTTCCTGCTGCCCAGCACTGCAGACAAGGTACAATGTACTATGGTTTAGCTATCCATTCTCCTCTTGGTGGATTTTCTTTTTAAATCTAGTATTTACTTATTTGAGAGAGACAGAGCATGAGCAGGCCGGTGGGGCAGAGGGAGAGGGAGAAACAGACAGTCCTATGTGGGGCTCCAACCCCAGGACCCTGAGATCATGCCCTGAACCAAAGGCAGATGCTTAACTGAGTCACCCAGGTGCCCCTTGACCGACATTCAAACTATTTCCAATTTTTTGCTTTCACATCACTGCTGCCACAAAGATCCTTGATCAGGCTTCTCGTGTACACATGCCACTTTCTCTAGCACAAGAGTCCTGTTACCTGTGTTGTGTAGCACCTGAGCTCAGAATGGTTTGTACAGGGCCACCTGGGTGGCTCAGTGGTTGAGCGTCTGCCTTCCACTCAGGGCTTGATCCCGGATCTGGGGATCCAGTCCTGCAGCAGGCTCCCTGTGAGGAGACTGCCTCTCCTTCTGTCTCTGTCTTTGTCTCTCTGTGTCCCTCATGAATAAATAAATAAAATCTTTAAAAAAATGGTTTTACATTTTTAAAAGGATCAGAGGAAAAAGGGAATATGTGAAAGAGCCCCTATGTCTGATATGCCTGAAATATTTACTATTTGGACCTTTATAGAAAAATTTGCTGACTGAAGTGCTAGCCCTCTACAGAAGGACTAGCCCTCACCCTCCTATTTCACAGATGTGAAAGCTGAGCAACAGAGATGAGAAAAAAGTTGCCCAAAGTCTTCCGGAACTGGGGTTTTCATTCTGTTGGATAAATGTCTATTGAACTGCTGTTGTGGGCCCGGCTGGATTGAGGGAGGCACACAAACTGATCAAATTGGGGAACTGGGGTGGCTTGGGGGTTGAGTGTCTGCCTTTGGCTCCGGTCGAGATCTCGGGTCCTGGAATGGAGTCCCACATCAGGCTCCCTTCAGAGAGTCTGCTTCTTTCTTCCTCTGTCTTTGTCTCTGCCTCTCTATGTCTCTAGTGAATAAATAAATAAAATCTTTTAAAAAAAGATACTGATCAAGGCTACCCCTGTCCCCAAAGAACTCACAGCTTAGGAGAGACAGTGGGAAATAATTATAACCTAGATGGAGGAGAGTTCAAGCTCTCCCAGAGTAGGGGAGAAAAGGGGAGAAGAGGGGAGACTGGGTGGCTCAGCGGTTTGGTGCCTGTCTTTGGCCCAGAGCATGATCCTGGAGTCCCAGGATCGAGTCCCACATCAAGCTCCCTGCATGGAGCCTGCTTCTCCCTCTGCCTATGTCTCTGCCTCTCTCTGAGTCTCTGATGAATGAATAAATAAAATCTTTAAAAAAAGAAAAGGGGAGAAAATTACTCAGTTATTTAGAGAAGAATTAATGTCGGAGCATGGCCTGGAAGGATGAGGTGAAGGAGGTGTGAATCCAGATAGAGGACCTGGCTTGAACAAAGGCTGGGAATGGTGGTTCTCTCCCCTAGTCAGCTGGGTCCTGGGAACTGTTGGTTTCACACCCCTACATTGCGCCTAGGCACCCCTGTGATTCAGGAGCTCAGGCAAGAGGGCTATGGCCCAGATTTCTTCCTTTCCCTTCAGGCCTCAGTTTACCACTTGTGAACGTTGAACCTCTGATTTCCCAGGCATCCAGCCCCAGGGTACCTGACCCGGGCCAGGTGGCGCTCTGCGGGAGGGGAGTGGCCACCAGTGGAGTCACATGGGGCGGGGCCTGCGGGACCCGCTGCGGAAGCCTGGGAGGGTGTTTGGGCCTCAGACCCAAGCTACTGCGTGGGGGAGGGGGTTCCTAGGAGCCAGCACCAGGGGGGTGGGTGCCCCTGCCTCCGCGCCCTCCTATTGCTGGATGATCCCGCCATCCTCTGCGGGCGAAACTGAGTCACGGCGGGGGTGCGTGGGGAGAGGTTCCAGGGGTTTTAACCACACAGGAACCTGGAGTCCCATTCCCACCCAGGGGCAGCGCCGCACCCTCACCCCCGCCCCCGCCCCCACCCCCACCTCCAGGCAGTGAGTCAGCGGCCGGCCGCGCCCCCTCGGCCCACTTCCTCCTCACCTTCCTGGGGCGGGCGGGGGGCGGCGAGAGGGATGGGGCCCTCCCCGCCCACCCCACCCTGAGCTGGGGAAAGGGGTTCATCCCTTAGTCACCTTTCATATATTGGCAGAGAAGAGAGACGTTGGGGGTAGCATTTAAGGTATCATTTAAGGGGGAAAATTTGAGAGAATCTTGAGAGAATCTATGCTTAACCAGAGGATCGTCTTCGCGCCCACCCCCCAAATTGAGCAGAACGTGAAGAAATGGAGAAGTTGTTGGGGAGGGTGAGCAGGAATTGTCCCCATTAAGATCCTCCTAAGAATTTCCATCGTAGGAGCGAATGAGCGATCAGGAAGGATCCCTTGCCCTCCACCAGACCTACCCCCTAATTTGGGGGTGACCCTCAGCGTGCATCCCTATTTCTCTAACGTTGGGGAAGAGGTAAATAGCGGAAGTGTAGGGTTCCGCGTTGCCCTTTTAAGCGCCCTTCACCACCCCCCACCGCCTAGAGGTGTCCGCGGCCCCTTTAAGGCGCAGGGCATTGTGGGTGCGGGGAGTGGAATTTTGGAACGAAATGTAGCGAAGAGAAGTACAGTAGTAAGAGTAACGTTGTACCCGCCGCCGGCCGAGGGGGCGCGCCGGGGACGGGACGCCGCACCCCCTTTCTGCCGCAGGGACCCCCGATCAAACCTCCAGAGGGAGGAGGCGCCTGAGGACCCGCCCCGGCCCCGTCCACGTTCCCCCCCAGGAAGCCGGACTCTATGGGGCGGGACCCTGGGGGAGACTGAGCAGAACCTGGAGCCAGCCCCGAACCCCTGAACCTTGAGCCAGGGGCGCCCCGGGAGCACCCACCCGTGGGTGCGCCGCCCTCCCGCTGAGCAGCCATGAGGTGAGCCTCGAACTGCCTCCAAACCCTTCCGCGCTCCGCGCGGGCTCCCCGCCCCGCCTTTGTCCCCCTCCCCCAGCTGGAATTTGGGGACAGGGCACTGGGGGCCTCGGATTTGAGGCCGAGCCCCCTTGGACGAGTTCCAAATACTGACCGCTTCGCCATGACGCCTAAGGCTCGGGTGGTGCCTCAGAGGTTCTCTCGGAAGCCCTCAGATTTGGGGGCGCCCCGAGGACTCCCGAATTTCTTAGACTTTTTCAGAGAACCTCCAAGTTGCCAGATCCTGCAGCATGGAGGCCAGAATTAAGGCAGGGCTCAGACTACCCCCCAAAAATCTCAACTCGGGCTCCGGGAGGGATTGAGGGGACCGGGTTGGGGGTCCCTGGGACCTGGAAGAGAGATTCGGGACGTAGACCTTGGTTTGCCGGGTCTGCCTTTACGTGGCGCTGGAAAAAGCCTTCCCAAGTGGGACCTCGCTTCTTAACTTCGGGGGCACTTAACCCCTTAAATTTGGGGGGGCTCTCGTCCTCCGGTGGAGGTGGGTGCAGACGAACCCACGGACCCGGACAGCCTCGAGGGTCTGGTTGGGACTCCCCTCCCCCGCCGCTCCCCACCCACCTTCTGTCTAAAAGAAGCGGTGCCTAGGACCGAGCTCCAG